CGATGACCAAAAGTGTTGAACATACAACGTCTTCCCCACGGACGGCGCCAACTATCGGTGCAGAAAGTGACCAACACGTAAATATTTGTAGTTTTGCCGTACGTTGTGATCGGAGGTGGCCTAGCACTCAATGACACAGGGTTTATACTGGTTCAGGCAACGTGCCCTACGTCCAGTTAGAGTCGGTCGGTGACTTTATTCCTGAGCCCAGGTGCTCAAAGTTTGCAGTGGGGTTATAAATGAGAAGGATAAAGATGGGGGTACAAGAGGTCCGGTCGAACTCTGGTCAGAGGGGCCGAGAGTGACGGGAGCTCCGCTATGCGCTATGTGTTCGAGCGTGTGCTTGTGGTTTGAACCTGGCTGTTCTGTTGTTGTGAACTAGTGAACTGATTGATCTGAATGAACTTAGCTGTTGGGAGAGAGCGCATCCCCTTTTATAGATGAAGGGGATGGCCTTACAAGTGAGAGGGAGAGAGTTCGTTCGCTGCTAAGTCTTGCTGTCCACGCCGGCGGGTATAAGATGAGAGTAGGCGCCCACAATACTGTCGAATGTTAGATGCACGTGGAAGGTTGCGTCGTCTTCTTCAGGTATGGCAGATGTCAGCACCTGCTATACTGTTGATGCCCAGAGGCATGTGAGGGGTTTTACCGTGTTCGCTTGGTAAGGTAAATGCCGGCGCCCACAACACTGTTGATGCCCAGAGACATGTGGGGAGCCTTACCGTATTTATCTGGTATGGGAGTTGATGGTGCCCACAACATTGTAGGGAAAATATCGACGCCTACAATACTGCTTGCGTTATGTCTTGTCAGGGAGGTCGCAGGGTACTGTCCTGCAGGTGTACAGGGTACGATCCTTGGTATTGCGGTTGAGTTGAGTGCGCTGTCTTACTTTCTCCGTCTGTTTCCTGGTCCTTACCGAGCGGGCGTCCCCGGTCGGTTGGTCCCAATCAGCTCTGATTACGCCAGTCGGAGAGGAGCCGTAGGCAGGGGTCCAGCGCATTCCCGGTCGGAGAAGCGGGCTGAAGGTCGGAAGTGGTGTTTTGGCCAGGCCTTTCGGTCGGAGAGACTGTCCGGAGGCGGGCTGGAGATCGAAGAGAGTGCTCCGGTCGAAGAGGTGGGCTGGAGTCGGAAGCGGACGCCGTTCCTCCTCGGCTAGGCCTTCCGGTTGGAGATTGGATCGTTCTTCTGGCCTGTTGTCTAGGTATTTGGTCCGGCCCATGAGTTGCGTGTTGCTCGCAATGTTGTCTGTTGGGCCAAGCCTTTGTTGGGAAGTCGGTCTATGAGGGACCCCGGGTTTATGAACCTGATAGTTGTATACTACAAATATTAAAAATTGCATAAAACCCGAAGTAACGACGATTCTTAGGTTAAAAAATCCGACTAATATATATCGAATCGATGCGAAAAAATTAGGATGGGAACGAGGATACCTTGCTTTCGAAGATCCACGGATCAAATCAAAGTTTGTAAGGTCTAATATACCGATTCGTGAGATAGAGCGAAGTGGAGAGAGTAAATACCCGAGAGAGAGGCGAAAGAAAAGGAAGAAGCCTTGGCCAGGAAGGTTAGATGCTGGTTTAAAATACCACCTCGGCATCATAGATCTTGGCGCCAATAATCCTAGCGCTAAACTCGGCGCCAATGACACCGGCGCCGAGGTGGCTGCCATGTCACCGCCACGTCTGCGTCGACGCCTACGTCGACCCAAGACCTTGGCGCCAAATACTATGGCGTCGAGATGTCTAAGCTCGGCGTCAATTACGTTGGCACTGAGATGAGAGTCTAGATTTTAAAAGCATATCTCCAGGAGCAGATTTGTGTTTGTGAAAAAATTTCAAAAAAAAGGAAAAAAACAAAAAATTTAGGCCCCGTTCGCTTCGCTAAAAAAATAAAATAAAACATCGTTCCGACTAATTTACTGTGAGAGAAAAACACGGTTCCGGTCGAAAATACCAGCCGAAAAAGATGGATTACTAAAGAAGCGAACGGGCCTCGGACGCAGGGGAAACAGCTGCAGCGACCGAGCAGGGCCAAAAATCGACTTCTGGGCCGTGGGCCCCCACCACCATACAAGCGGACGGAGCGACCGCGAGGCGCGACTACGCCGGCGGTGCCGCGACCCCACACTGCTGACCTACCCCTTCCACTCCGCTCCACCACTGGCCAACGAATCTTCCTGCAGTGTCCGCCGCCGCTCAACGGAACTCCACTCCTCCTCTCCCCACAGCAACCGCGGGTCCGATCCGATCCCACCTCATGGAGAAAACTGCGCACGTTGCCGCCGGCGCGACGCAGGACTCGTTTCCGCACAGGTCGTAGCCCTAGCTCCCATCCTCAGTTCCTCACCCTCTGCTTCATCCTCAGTTCATGCTGTAGCTGTAGACGGCACTCTTATGCAGTGCTAGTATACGGGCGAGAGACAGTCTTTCTGTGGTCTGACCCGATGGTTTATGTGCAGTTTGAATGGCCATATTACACTATAAATGTGTGCAAATTGTTGTGCCAGGTCAAGCAAAAGCAGTTGTATAGCAATCTGCAGTGCCAATTTTTCTAGTTCACCATTCAGTTTTCCTTTCAGATCTCTTAACGACAACAAGGCATTTTGAGTCACATCCTTGTTTCCTAAAACAAAACAACTTTTAGATAATGGATGAAAATAGAGAGAAGGATACATGTAGCATTGTGGCAATTTTGGGACCATGGGCCATACACCAAGATTTACGTTCCCACCTCCCGCTGTTGCATCTCTAGTCTCTAGGTATTTTTTGCCGCTTCATTCATCTGATGCAGCAACAAAAAATCACGTTCATCCGCAGGCTTGACGCAGTGAGGCATGACTCCGCTGAAGCGATTCCTGAAAGGTGATTTTAATTATATTGCTTCCAGGGCCATGTTGTTCTTTCGTGAATGAACATGGATACTAATATTTGGCCAGTGCGCCAGACTCGCGGTGGTCACAGGAGGAAACAAAGGAGTTGGCCTAGAAGTATGCCGCCAGCTTGCTCTCCAGGGTGTGACAGTTATCCTTACAGCAAGGGATGAGAAACGAGGAAAAGATTCCGCCGAGACCCTTCGCCGTGAATCCAAACTCCCAAATATAATCTTCCATCAGCTCGATGTCAGAGATGATGACAGTGTCGCCACATTGGCCCGGTATATTGAAAGAACATATGGGAAGCTCGACATCTTGGTAAATCTCCTATTTTTGAATTAAATGACACCACTTTGTGTTTTTGAGTACACATAATTGATGATATGGTGGGTGATACAGGTGAACAATGCAGCTATTTCAGGAATTGTAGCAGATGAGGAAGGCCTGAAATCTCTCAACATTGATGCAGAGACATGGGTACTTAGATTTGTTCTTTAGCTCTTGGCAGCTTATCTATTGATGCTGTTTACTTTTGGTTCAGAATGCATCTGCAGTCTTTTGGAGTCAGAATCTCAATATATGATTTAATTACTTCTTGTTTTTCTGTATTGTGTCAGTGGTATTACTGTTTGTTTTTTTCATTATGGTTATAAATACCATGTTATTGGTATACTACAACCAATGATGAGTGCTTCGGTCACTCATAAATGTTTGTGTTTCAGACATCTGGCAGGGCGGCTAATCTTCTCAAAGAAGTATTCCAGAATACCAATGATGAGGCATTCAACTGTCTCAATACCAATTACTATGGATGCAAACGGGTAACAGAAGCTCTTCTTCCACTTTTGAAGCTATCTACATCAGGAGCAAGGATTGTCAATGCCTCCTCACTTGCATCGGAGCTGAAGGTGCATCAGCTATATTTTTTTTTCTTTTTTCTACCCTGAAACTCCTGAATTTGTGCACGAACAGAGAAGATATCTATGTTACTCACCCTCCTTCATCATAGCTCATTCATGCGTTTGATATTGTTGCCAGAGAATGCCAAATGAGAAGCTGCGAAATGATTTGAGCAACATCGACATCTGGGACGAGGACCGGATAGAAGCAGTGCTGAACACATTCTTGGAGGACCTGAAGAGCGGGCGGCTAGAAGAGGCCGGGTGGCCCATGATGCTACCGGCCTACAGTGTATCGAAAATGGTCATCAATCTCTACACCAGGATTATGGCAAGGAGGTATCCCGAGATGCGCATCAACTGTGTGCGACCTGGCTTTGTGAAGACAGACATCAACTGGAATCTGGGGGTCTTGACGCCTGAACAAGGTGCAAGAGGGCCAGTCATGCTAGCTCTCCTCCCCGGTGATGGACCAACTGGGTGCTATTTTGATCAGACGGAAATGGTGAACGTGTGGTGAACAAACAATTGAATGCCATTGTTTCGCATTTTGTGTGACATTATTTCCCAGATTTTGTGAGAGGATAGAGGCATACTCGGATCCGTTTATGACATCATGATCAGATAACCACAGACACACTGTAAAATCTTATGGTTGAGGGTATGCTACTAATGTTGCTCAAGCAGTTGCTGTTGTTTCCATATGTTCTATGCTGCAGCCTGCAGAAATTTTCTGCATTTGTATTTTATAAACACCAATAAAGAGGCGTCTATAGAAAAACCAATCAGATTGAATCCTAAAAATAAACAGTCGATGTTCTTATATTGGGATTGGCTAAGCATTTCTGTTTATCGTATCTGTGGTTTTTCGGTATCTCACTATTTTGTCGTTATTATTTAGTCTGGAAAAGAAAAAAAAAGGAAATGTTCTGTTGAACGGAAAAGTCAAACCAGCCTTTGCCAAAGCCCTTCACGTTCTTGGTTCACTGCCTCGTGGGCCCTTGATCAGTTGCCGCCCAGACTCCAGAGCGCCGGCGCTGCTCACCTCGGGCAGCGGCGGCGGCACATGGCTGCGCACGGAGCCCACAGCCCCGGCGCCGGCGTGCACACTATCAGTCTACTTAAAAAAGCAGTACTTGTAGACAGTTGGTGATACGGCGGCTAACCTCGCCGTCAATTGTGCGCTTGACTACCCTACCACACCCGTCCCACCCGGCGACCCAGAGATGCGCCACCTCGGCCTCCGGGCGTCCGCGAGCTCGCCATGTAGGGTCCGCGTCCGTCCCTGCGCCTCGGCTCCCCCATTATCCCCCTCCCGCCTCCAGCAGCGAGTCACCTTCCCTGCCACGGCCGTGCGGGCGACAAGGGCATCGTCTCCGCATCACAGGTTTGCGTTCTCTGCCCCGTTTTGTTAATTTCCGCATGGATCTATTCATTCTATTGTCCTGCACATATCTTTCTCTCACCCTTTGTATCGATTCTCTTTTGAAAAGATGATGCTATACACTCTCTGAACACGGCTTTTGGATAAGCTAAATTTCAAGTTTAAGTTTTAGATTTTGGTGATTAGTTTCGAGATATGGACAATGGAGACTGCTGACCACATCCATCCTGTAATACAACCAACGCATGTTTCATTCTCCAAAAAAAAAGAGAGGGAAACAACAACAACAACACATGTTTCTACATAAATGTACTTTCTTACTGTCTTGCCTAATTTGACAGTGCATACATGTTGCCCACTCTTAAGACATAGCCACATGTATAGTCTCGGTTAGATAGGCACAAGCAGTTAACAACAACAACAATAAAGCCTTTTAGTCCCAAACAAGTTAGGGTAGGCTAGAGTTGAAACCCAGTAGAAACAATCAAGGTTCAGGCACGTGAATAGCTGTCTTCCAAGCACTCCTATTTAAGGTTAAGTCTTTAGGTATATTATATCCTTTCAAGTCTTATTTTATTGCCTCTATCCAAGTCAACTTCGGTCTTACTCTGTCTCTCTTCACATTACTATCCTGGCTTAGGATTCCACTACGCACCGGTGTCTCTGAGGTCTCCGTTGGACATGTCCAAACCATCTCAACCGGTGTTGGATAAGCTTTTCTTCAATTGGTGCTACCCATAATCTATCACGCATATCATCGTTCCGAACTCGATCCCTTCTTGTATGACCGCAAATCCAACGCAACATACGCATTTCCGCGACACTTATCTGTTGAACATGTCGTCTTTTCGTAGGCCAATATTCTGCACCATACAACATAGCAGGTCTAATCGGCGTCCTATAAAACTTGCCTTTTAGCTTCTGTGGTACCCTTTTGTCACATAGGACACCAGATGCTTGCCGCCACTTCATCCACCCTGCTTTGATTCTATGGCTAACATCTTCATCAATATCCCCGTCTCTCTGTAGCATTGATCATAAATATCGAAAGGTATCCTTCCTAGGCACTACTTGACCTTCTAAACTAATATCTTTCTCCTCCCGAGTAGTAGTGCCGAAGTCACATCTCATATACTCAGTTTTAGTTCTACCGAGTCTAAAATCTTTGGACTACAAAGTCACCCGCCATAACTCCAGTTTCTGATTCACTCATGTCCGACTTTCATCAACTAGCACTACATCGTCTGTGAAAAGCATACACCAAGAGATGTCCCCTTGTATGTCCCTTGTGACCTCATCCATCACTAAGGCAAACAAATAAGAGCTCAAAGCTAACCCTTATGTAGTCCTATCCTAATCGGGAAGTCATCCGTGTCTCCATCACTTGTTCGAACTATAGTCACAACATTGTTGTACATGTCCTTATGAGCCCGACGTACTTCGTTGGGACTTTATGTTTGTCCAAAGCCCACCACATAACATTCCTTGGTATTTTATTATAAGCCTTCTCCAAGTCAATAAAAACCATGTGTAGGTCCTTCGTCTCCCTATACCGCTACGTAACTTGTCTTATTAAGAAAATGGCTTCCATGGTTGACCTTCCGGACATGAAACCAAATTGGTTCATAGAGACCCGCGTTATTGCTCTCGAGCGATGCTCGATAACTCTCTCCCATAGCTTCATAGTATGGCTCATCAACTTAATTCTCCGGTAATTAGTACAACTTTGAATATCCCCTTTATTCTTGTAGATCGGTACTAATATACTTTTTCACTCATCAGGCATCTTATTCGATCGAAAATATGGTTGAACAGCTTGGTTAGCCATACTATAGCTATGTCCCCGAGGCATCTCCACACCTCGATTGGGATACCATCTAGTTCCATCGCCTTACCTTCTTTCATCCTTTTCAACGTCTCTCTGGCCTCAGATTCTTGGATTTTCCGCACAAAACGCTTATTGGTGTCATCAAAAGAGTCATCCAACTGAAAGGTTGTGTCCATATTTTCACCATTGAACAATTTGTCAAAATACTCTTGCCATCGATGTCGGATCTCATCCTCCTTCACCGAGAGATGCTCCCTTTTATCCTTAATGCACTTAACTTGGTTGAAGTCCCTTATCTTTCTCTCACGAACCCTAGCCATCCTATAAATGTCATTCTCTCCTTTCTTCGTACTCAAATGTTGGTAAAGATCCTCATACGCTCTACCCTTTGCCACACTTACAGCTCGCTTTGCAGTCTTCTTTGCCACCTTGTACTTCTCTATGTTATCCACACTCCTGTTATGGTACAAGCGTCTATAACATTCTTTCTTCTCCTTAATAGCCATCTAGATTTCCTCATTCCACCACCAAGTATCTTTAGCCTCGCCTCCACTTTCTTTGGTTACTCCACACACCTCTGAGGCCACCTTCCGAATGTTGGTTGCCATCTTCTCTTACATGTTGTTTATGTCCTCTTCTTCCTTTCAAGAGCTCTCTTTGATAACCCTTTCCCTGCATACCTCTGACGTCTCCCCTTTCAATTTCCACCACTTTGTTCTTTCAATCTTAGCTCGTTTATCCCTACGGGCACGCACCTGAAAATGAAAGTCTACCACCAAAAGCTTATGTTGAGAAACAACACACTCCCCTGGTATCACCTTGCAACCCAAGCATGCTCGTTTGTCTTTTCTTCTTGCGAGGACAAAGTCAATCTGGCTAGAGTGTTGTCCGCTACTGAAGGTCGCTAGATGAGATTCTCTCTTTCTAAAGAAAGTGTTGGCTATCATCAGGTCAAAAGCTATCGTGAAGTCCAGAACTTCCTCCCCCTCCTGATTCCTACTACCATACCCAAAACCTACATGAACTGCCTTGAAACCTACGCTTATAGTACCTACATGTCCATTAAGATCTCCTCCTATAAAAAACTTCTCACTACTAGGTACAGTTCTAATTAGGCCATCTAAGTCTTCCCAGAACTGTCTCTTAGCACTCTCGTCGAGGCCTACTTGAGGGGCATACGCACTAATTACGTTCAAGACCATATCACCAACGACAAGCTTGACTAAGATAATCCTATCTCCTTGCCTTCTCACTCCCACCACACCATTCTTAAGGCTCTTATCAATCAAAACTCCTACTCCATTTCTATTCGCGACTGTCCCTGTGTACCAAAGCTTGAAACCTGTATTGTCCACCTCGTTCGTCTTCTGACCCTTCCATTTAGTCTCTTGAACGCATAATATATTTACACGCCTCCTAGTCGCGGTATCAACTAATTCTCTTAACTTACCTGTAAGCGACCCTACATTTCAACTACCTAAACGGATCCTAGTTGGTTCGACTAGCTTTCTTACCCTTCGCACCCGTCGACTCAGATGTGAAGACTCTTGCTCATTTTTCACTACACTCGGGCGCCGATGTAGAGCGCCACTAAGGAAGAGACGACCCAATCCTTGCTCACTTGACACCATGCCCAGATCACGACACGGCGCGTCACCAAGGGGGTGCCGACCCGGCCCGTGCCCATTTAACACCATACCCGGGTTCCGATATGGCGCGTCGCTAAGAGGGTTACGCCCCAACGATTTTCTTTCGGGTTTTATCTCCATTAGAATGGCTATTAAACTGAACACAAATTTGCCTTGCCACTGGAGTGGTCAGTTCTTGTTAATCTTTCCATGTCTTTTTTGCCAAGTTCTTTCAACTTGGACCACTCCCCTCAATGGGAGAAAAAGACATTTGTGATTTTTTGGATGGCATTTTAGATTCATTACAAATTAGTGACATTTTACATTTATCTATTTTTGAATTTGTACCCATATAGGCACTGGGTGCAAATCAAAGTATGTTTCAGTTTTATTTTCTTTCTAATTTTGAACATTTACTTTCTTAATGAAAGCCATTTTATTTTCTTTTATGACTTGGAGTCATTTTGTAGTATAATTTATCTCCTATGTAGCCATGAAGGATAAGTGCAGCGTTATTAAGTTTTTCCAACTTATAAAGTCCTATCTATAGTGCTAGATAAACTAAATATCTACCTGTGCTAAGCACGTGGTTCTTGTGCTCCAGATGAATATTATTATTGCCTAAGGAAAACACATAATTAGAGCTGCATTCCTACCTAATAGTCAATTTTCTTCACCTGATAGCACAGCCCGCAGCTACATTTTTATGATCCTTTATTATTTTATTTGATTGATGCATCAAAACTCATTACTCCACATGCTTGAGTTGCATTTGCATCTCTTAAGTGTTTTTTCGGATTTCGTCCAAAAAATGTGTTTTTAACTATTTTATCTGATGCAACAAAAATGCCGTTGCTCCACAGGCTTGATGCAGTGAGACATAACGATGCTGAAGCGATTCCTGAAAGGTGTTTTTTATTTGTTTCGAAAGCCATGCCCTTTCATGGATGAACATGGATGCTAATATTTGGCCAGTACGCCAGACTTGCTGTGGTCACAGGTGCAAACAAAGGAGTTGGCCTAGAAGTATGCCGCCAGCTTGCTCTCCAGGGTGTGACAGTTATCCTTACAGCAAGGGATGAAAAACGAGGAAAAGATGCAACTGAGACCCTTCGCCATGAATCTCAACTCCCCAATATAATCTTCCATCAGCTTGATATCAGAGATGATGATGGTGTCACCTCATTGGCCTGGTATATCAAAAACAGATATGGGAAACTTGACATCTTGGTAAGTTGTAGTCTACTACTATTTTCGTATTAAATGGCATCACTTTGTGCCTTTGAGTACACGTAATTGATGATATGATGAGTGATACAGGTGAACAATGCAGCTGTTTCAGGAATTGTAGCAGATGAGGAAGGCCTGAAAGCTCTCAACATTGATGCAGAGACATGGGTACTTTGATTGTTCTTTAGCTTTCAGGATCTTATCTATTCATGCTGTTTACTTTGGGTTCATTATCTCATTGCTTGATTTGAGGGAACCTTTGTATTGATTTATCTGTAGAAGTACATTTTCTTTTTTCTTTTTGGTATGACCTTGAATAGCCTGTTGGTAGAACCATTGGTGAGTGCTTTGGGAACTCATTAATATTTGTGTTTCAGACATCTGGCAGGGCGGCTAATCTTCTCAAAGAAGTATTCCAGAATGCTAATGATGAGGCATTGAACTGTCTCAATACCAATTACTATGGATGCAAACGGGTAACAGAGGCTCTTCTTCCACTTTTGAAGCTATCTACATCAGGAGCAAGGATTGTCAATGCCTCCTCCCTTGCGTCGGAGCTGAAGGTGCATCATCTAGACTTGTTTTTCCTCCCCTAAAATTCCTGCATTCCCACATGAACGGAGAAGACCTCTATATTATTTACCCTCATTCATTGTAGGTCACAAATTTGATTTTGTTGCCAGAGAATGCCAAATGAGAAGCTGCGAAATGATCTGAGCAACATTGACGTCTGGGATGAGGACCGAATAGAAGCAGTGCTCAACACATTCTTGGAGGACCTGAAGAGTGGGCGGCTAGAAGAGGCCGGGTGGCCCATGATGCTACCGGCCTACAGTGTATCGAAAATGGTCATCAATCTCTACACCAGGATCATGGCAAGGAGGTATCCTGAGATGCGCATCAACTGTGTGCGGCCTGGCTTTGTCAAGACGGACATCAACTGGAATCTTGGGGTCTTGACGCCTGAACAAGGTGCAAGAGGGCCAGTCATGCTAGCTCTGCTCCCTGACGATGGACCAACTGGGTGCTATTTTGATCAGACAGAAATGGTGAACGTGTGGTAATCAGATTGAATGGCATGTCGTTTCACGGTTTGTATGGTATTATTTTGACCCTTTTATAACATCCTGAATTCATGATCTCATGATCACATAAACACATCCACACATGGTAAAATGTTCTCATGATTGAGGGCGTGTGATATGATTTGTTGGAGCAGTTGGTGCAGTTTCCATATGTTTTTTGTTGTTTTTTTTCCTGTTCGCACTTGGAATAATTTTTCAGTGTTTGTGTTTTTAAACACAAATAAAGAGCTGCCCTCATCGAAAAACCAATCAGATTGAATGCTAAAAAAAATTGTTGATGTTCTTATTGTTGTTTTTAGACAGAAGTTGATGTTCTTAACGTTGGGATTGAATTAATACTCATTTCTATAGTAGATGACTAGATGGTGCATAGATGCATCAGTTCTAAATCTACCGTATTTGTTTTTTTTTTCTCGAATACGCAAGAGCGTTGCGTATCATTGCACTAAGGAGAAATAGAAGTTGTTACATTTTTCCGGCACAAGGCCAGCTTGGGGAATGGAAGTTTACATTGAGAACTCGGTGAGTAGCATGCTACCCCTCCGCCTATCTATCGTACTTGTGCCTTTTGGCTTTTGCGTATTCTGTCATTGTATATAGCCTTGAAAAGAAGAAGGAAAATACAGGTCGGTGATTGTAACACCCTACAAGTTACTGATGAAAAGGCCCCTGATCAGTTGCCACCGCTCGCGTCGGTCGCCGGCGGCTGCGCACGGAGCCCACAGCTCGCCGCCGGCGTCCACATTGTCAATTACCAATTGATAGCTTAAAAAAAGGCAATGGGCGACCCACCCGAGAGGCAAGAGCGAGACAAGAGGTAGAAGACGACGATCCAGAGATGCGCCACCTCGGCCCTCGGGGCGTCCGCGAGCTGGCTATGTTAGGTCCGTCCCTGCGCCGCGGCCCCATCATCCCTCTCCCGCTTCCAGCAACGAGTCACCTCACCTTCCCTGCCGCACCAATAATGGATGAGCGGCCGCGCGGCGATGCAGGCATCGCCGTCTCCACATCGCAGGTCGGTTCCTCTCCTCTCTCCCTGCGCGCTCGTGCGGCGCGCTGTGGCCCCGTACGCGTGCCCTTAAACCTGGCTTATCCGCTTCTTTTTTCACCCGAAACGGTGTTTTCTTCTTACAAATTCCTTCAGATTCATCCAGATTCCTTCAGATTCATCCAAATTCCTCCAAGCGAATGGGGCCTGTATCTCGCCTTTCATGCTATATACAGATGTCTGAACTCTGAACAATGCTTTTGGATAAGCTAATTTGTAACTTCAGATTTGAATCGCGGTGATTAGCTTGGAGATTATGGAAAAGGGAGACTGTTGTTGAGTACATCCATCGTTTTAACGAGTAGATGTTTTCTTTTTCACATAAATGTACTTTCTTTCCTAATCTGTAAATGCATACATGTTACACAAGCAGAACCTGAAAAAGATCCATTTGTCAGTGGATTGTTAAGTTTTTGTCAAATTTCCATGTCTTTTTTGCCAAGTTATTTCAAGTTGTCCCACTCTCCTCACAGAAAAAAAAAACTATCAAATTTGTGCATTGATGATGACTTTCTGTAAGTACTGAGATAGAAATTAGAGTACATTTTAGATGATTCATTACTAGAGTACCTTTTACATTTACTAACTTTTGAATTTAAAAAAAAAGGCACTGGTTACAGATCAAAGTTATTTTTACTTTTATTTTGTTTTCTTTTAAAAGTTTAAGCATTTTCTTTCTTATTGCAAAGCCATTTTATTTATGACTTGGAGTCATTTTGTATCCTTTATCTCCTATGTAGCAGTGAGGGATAAGGGCCACGTCGTTAACAATTTTTCCACTTTTTTTATGGTAATTTTTCCACTTATAAACTCCCGTCTGCTGTATATGATTCTTGTGCTCTTGATTTCCTCTTTTATTATTTATAATGACAATCTGTTGATGCCACAGTTTTGTTTTTTAAGATACAGCTTCATTTTTAAGAGCCTTTATTAGTTTATTATCTGATGAACCAAACTCCATCCTCCTCAGGCTTGAGCCAGTGAGCCGTGAGCATGAAACAAAACCATAAAGGTGATTTTTCCATGCACTGTAATTCTGTAAATGACATTCCATTTTCCCTTCTACTTATGAACAAGGATGTTAAATTGTGGCCACCTCAGGCTTGCAGTGGTCACTGGTGGAAACAAGGGAATCGGCCTGGGGGTATGCCGGCACCTTGCTGTGCAGGGCGTAATGGCCATTCTCACAGCAAGGAATGAGAAAAGAGGAAAAGCCGCAGTCGAATCCCTTAGGCACGAATGCAACCTCTCCAACATTATCTACCATCCGCTGGATGTCCTAGATGATGATAGTGTTGCCTCATTAGTCCGGCATATTGAGAGCAGATATGGGAAGCTTGACATTTTGTTAAAGATGAAGTCTTTCTGCTAGCAGTAGCCTAGTACATATCAAGTCTCTCTCACCATCCTACTGGTTTGGTTTGAGATTGAGAACATATCTATGAATGAGTGTGAAGTCGTTGATGCATGCAGGTGAACAATGCAGGAGTCGGAGGAGTTGTAATAGACCAGGATGGCGTGAGAGCTCTCAATATTGATCCTAGCAAATGGGTATGTACTATGTAGACTCTTCTTGACTTGAAGCATGTTTTCTTGGGTTGAGTTGTTCTTCCTCCCGGCATCTTCAGGCCTTGGATAGTAAGTAGTACAAGGTTAACAACTTAAGATGTATGATTGCAATTATCTGGATTTTGGTACCATAATATCCAGGATCAGCGATTTTAACCATCTTTGGCTGGTCACCGCCGCCAACCCAAATCAGCGACGAGCTTCTCATTTGTTTTCAATGCCTTTGTGATTGCAGTTATCAGGTGCAGCCGCCAATCTGCTGGAAGGTGTGGTCATACAAACATATGATGGAGCTGTAGAATGTGTCAACACAAACTACTACGGAATCAGACGGGTGACCGAAGGCCTCCTTCCCCTGCTGAAACAATCTCCGTCAGGAGCAAGGATCGTGAACACCACCTCACTTCGGTCAGAGCTAAAGGTACCTATACGGCTATACCCTTATACTAGCTAGGCTCCCTAAACTAAACATAGCTAGCTAATGTTGTGTTGTGTGCACAACGACAACGAACGAACTCACTCTGCCACCACACCACACTGACACCAGAGGATGCCGAACGAGAAGCTGCGGGAGGAGCTGCGCAAGCTCGGCGTCGCCAGCAGGGACGTCGCCACCGCGGAGAGTCCGCTCGCCGAGTCCAAGGACCACGCCGCCCGGGCTGCCAAGGGACGGAGTCGGCGGCAGAGAATTCCAAGGACACAGCTAGGTCGGACGACACGGCGGCTAGATCCCCTGAGGAGAAGCTGGAGGAGTACAAGCGATCGGCGGCAGCCGGCAGGTGTGGTGTAGCCTGCACTGAGCGTTGAAGAGATTAGTCCATGGCATCTTGTTCCCTTTCTTTTTTCAGGTGAAAATCACGACGTACCAGGTGTAAAAACTTTCGAGGTTCAGTTAAAACTTTGGTGGCATCTTGTTCGCTGCCCTCTACCACTAAGATTTTAAAAAATGTATCTATTGATTTGTCGATATATGTAAAATGTATGTATGGTATGGGGATTCATGAGCCTTAAATCCATATAAGCACTTCGTATTCCACTCAGATAAACCATCCATTCATGCTAAACAACTTTGATAACGAGGGGAAAAAAACTTCGATTGAAAGCTAAGAACTTCGTATTTCATTCAAAACCTTTTGACTTGTGCAAAGGAACTATTAATTTAGGATTAAGCTTTGATTCAAGACTAAGAGACTGGTTCGTCTCATTGAGAACTTCCACTGCCAAATGAACTTTAAATTTTGAGAAAAAGTCTTTTGATCAAGACTAAGCACATTGGGTTCATGGAAGATACTTTTGATTCAAATTATCTTTCATAATTGTAGATCGGGGGATTTAGATTCAAATTTAAGGAGTTTATTTATGTATTTTCATAATGGTAGAAGTGGATAATCCAATGGCATGGTGATGATTAGAGACTACTATATCCTTTTCCTTTTATTGTGCACATGTTTGACACATTGTACAATAAAATGCATGGCTGGATTATTTTGAACAATCTTTGTTGCACTGATGAGTAATTATTGTATAAAACAACACAGTTGTGTGCACCCCTATTAAGACATATATGCGAAGCAAAGCCAATTGGCCGGATGGTGCATTAACCGCTGCTAAGTGCTAATCAAGGAACGAGAAAGCAAAGCAGAGGACGTTCCAGAGCTTCACCTTGTCCTTGTCTCGCGCTGTAGGGGCGTTCTGATCAGCCGCTGCCTGCGGCTCGCCACGGCATGCCTCTGGGATAGTTGGAACCCGTGGCGCACATCTCGACGATTTGGACGGCCGCTGCATCACCTTGGTCCGCTGGCTTGTTCCCGCGAGGTCGATCGTGACGACGTCCTGGTCCAGCGCGCCCGATTAGTCCATTGCATCCCCGACGCCGGGGTCACGAGCTTCACCACCAGAACAAGTATAATAAGGCTGGCTAAATGCTAAGGTGGAGAAGAGAAAAAGAGAGAGAAGAAACGGACTATAAGCTTACAGCCGGTTTAGATGTAATAACAAAAAAAAAACTCTATGAAAAAGATAAGTGATACATATATTAATAGTGAAAAGTTAAATACTATATAAATGAAAGAAAATTAAAAGAAACCTTAGCGCCAACAAGTGAGCTGTATTATTAATGTTGCTCTCACAGGTCCGCCGATCGACTCGGTGACGACGCAAAGGCCTAGGACCTCGGTCTTTGTGACGGGGATATCTAGCCTGTTCGTAGCCTGTTCGGGCAGGACTGAAAAATAAACCAAAATACTGTTCTAACTGATTGTTGTGAGAGAAAAATACTGTTCTGGCTGAAATCACTGTTCACGTGAACAGTGATTCGTGAGGGGGCTGCCCAGCCAGCCAGCCACCGGCCAGCCAGCCGAACAGCCCCATCGTGATTTGGACCTTGCCGATGTTGTCCGCATGCATGGAACGCCGTGACGGCCGTGACGGACTGCAGGATGGCAGCTGCCATGATTAGAGACTGCTATACCCTTTTCCTTTTATAGCGTACAACTTGATAGGATACCATCTTTCGTATTATACTTTAGTGATCTATTTATTTTCTATTATACTCTTGTTCCATTTAAAATTATAAGACTTTTGTTTCTCTAGATATATTATTTTTACCATACATCTAGATATAATGTATAACTAAGTATATAGCAAAAATTATGTATCTAAAAAACCAAAACGTCTTATAATTAGGAATAATGAGAGTATTGTTCGTGCTTATAAATTTATAAATGGTTGGATAGTATATTTAATTATAAATCTAACCGTATTAGTTTGTATTATAATTGTATAAAATTATTATTGATCAAAGATTTGAAAGTTTAAATCTTGATATACATGTCCTTATAAAAGAATATGGAGGAAGTATCAAACTAGAGCAAGATCTTTTAGATTTTTGTGACAATTTCTCATATTTATTTTTATTTTAGTGTGTCATGATAATCATATTGAAGTGTTTTTAGGGCTCCGATTAGTAATAATAAGATAAGCTTGTAATTGAAAACTAAACTATTTTATCTTTGACTCGTGCTTGAGGAACTTCCTATTCAGAAAAAAAAAATTTGATTCAAGACCAAACAATTAGGATTCATTCAGAAAAACTTTTGACTGGTGCCAAAGGAACTTTCTATTTGAATAAAAGAAAACTTTGAAGACCTCAGGCTCTCGATTTTATTCAAATAGAAAACATTATGCTAATGCGAAAAGAAGCTCTGGTTCAAAACGAAGGACATTGGGTTGCTTTCATAAACCTTTGAAGACCTGGGACTCGCGATTTTTTATTCAAAAAAACTTTATGTTAATGCAAAAAGAAATTTTGATTCAAAACTAAGGACACTGGGTTGCTTTCATAAAACTTTGATTATTCCATGGTCACTCGGACAATAATCAGTTGGTAAGGGCCGGGTGGGATTGGAGAACCGAGAAGGATGAAGACAATTAGACAAATCGCTTGCATTTGACTGGATTAGGGCTCGTTCGGCTGGTTGAGAAACCAGCCGGTTTTCATTGTGCGCGGATGGAAAACACTGTTCATTCTCTCACAAATTTCTCTAGATTTATTCAAATTCCTCCCAGCAAACAGGACCTATGCATTAAGGGCTCCATGTGTTGCATGTAGGAAGCAGGATTCAAGTACCAAGCGCGCGCGCACACACTATTTCTAGCGAACTCTGAAGAACTCGAACCCATCCAGCGTATTCGTATCCTGTATCTACAGTGGGCCACGGCGATTCATGAACCACAAATCTAGAGACAATCCTAGGATTTAATAACGTTATCCGGTAGACGACCTGATTCAAATTATCTTCCATAATTATAGATTTGGGGATTCATATCCAAATTTAAGGAGTTTTTTTTGCGAATTACACAGTTAGAGACGCAGACGCTCAACACGCACGCAAACTCACCCTTATGAACACACATACGCAAATCCTACCCCTTATGTATTTTCATAATGGTATTAGTGGGTAAACCAATGGCTATCACTAATGATAGATGGTGATTAGAGACTTGGAGCCCATAAAATTAGAACTAGATCTTTTAAATTATTGTGATATTTTCTTGTATTTATCTTTTTTAGGTGTCTCATGACAATCATATTGAGGCTTGGGCTTGGCCTCGGCTGCCTCCATGGCGCGGCGACGCACGTGCGAGGAGATGAAGGTGTGGGGAAGGAGGAGAAGACGAGGGGAACCCAGATACACGCGACCTGGGGTGCGCGTATTTTTCTGCGCGTGGAAAAAGTTTTTTCAAGTGCCAAAACATCGGAAAGTGGGTTTGAGAGTTGTTGGAGATGGATTTTTTTCAATCTTGCCAAAAATATGGATTGGGGTAGTGTTCTGGGTACTCTTGGAGATGCTAGTAATTAATAAGAGCATCTCGAAGAGTTCCTAAGAATTTCTTCTCAAAACCAAGGAGTTTTCCAAGTCACCAAAAAGTATTAGGAGCACTACATAAGACCATCTTCAACAGTTCCAATAAATCACTCCTAAGATATCAAAAAAATTGGTCCCACAAAAAATTGCAGGTGATGTGTATCAACCAGTAACGATAATCTCTGAGACTCTGAACAATGAGGTCGCCGCGATGGGTGCGCCGCCGTAGCTCACCGCCTTGAGTGTGGCCATGCAGGCAGTCGTTGCATCCTCCTCGGTGGTCCGCACAATGGCCAGCAGCGCTGGCGGCGCTAGCGCAAGGCACGTCACTCCGAACCTCCCTACCGCATCCAGGACCGCCGCGATATCGAACCTCCTCCTCGCCGTGTGCAGCACCAGCGTGTGCATCGCCAACGCCGCCCTGAGGCAGAAGGTGAAGCCGTAGACGTGGAGGAGGGGCATAGCGAGAATGAGCGTCTCCCCCGCCGCTGGCGCCCACGTGGCATTACAGGCCATGAGGTTGTAGTGGGCGAGCACGACCGCCTTGGCACGCCCCATGGTGCTAGACGAATATAGCACCGCCGCCGGGTCCGACTACCGGACCGCCGCCGCGCCCGCTCCATCGTCAGGCTCGTGCAGGAATGAGAGGAACGTCAGGGAGTCGAGCAGCAAGGTGCGGGGCCTGAGAGGGAGCTTGCTCCTGGTGCCCACGACATCGAATGCAACGCTGGGGTTGGAGAGCGCAAGCTGCCGGGCCGTTAAGATCCAGGTTGGCCGGGGACACGACGATGCCCACGTGAAAGTGCCCAACGAGAGCGGCATCGTGAAGGCCTCGTCCGCCGGCACAACATTCGCCTTTGACTTGGGCTTGGCCCCGACCGACTTCGTCGCGTGGCGACGCGCGTGCGTGGAGATGATGAAAGCGCGGGGAACCTAGATACGCACAACCTTGGTGCGCGCATGTTTTCACTCGTGGGAGGGTGTTTTTTTCAAGTGCCAAAAGATTGGGAGGTTGATTTGAGAGTTATTGGAGATATTTTTTTCAATCTTGCCAAAAATTATGAATTGAGATAGTGTTTTGGGTACTCTTGGAGGTGCTCTAAGATAGACTTTTGATTCAAAACTAAGCTATTTCTGTCAGTGTTGATCTCATTCGACTCGGCCCAACGGTCGAGTCGGGCCTTGATCCAGTGCCCTAATCGGGGGCATCCAACCAAACCAAGGTTGGTGGCCCCCCATCACGCAGCACTATTTAGAGGGAGGTGGGGGCCAGGGCGCAGACACGAGGTTGACCTGAGCCACCGCAACCTGCCTACAAAGAAACCCTAACTCGATCTAGAGGGAGCGGCGTTGCCTATGACGGGAAGACCCACTACCTCGTCGTCACCGAGATAGCACCGCCTCCGCACCACCGCCTTCACCATTTTGGACTTCACAGCATCACCAACATCGCCATGGACGGCTCTAGCTCCACCGCCAAACCCTCCGATGACCGGTGACGTCTCACCTCTCTCCCTTCCCTCTCTATCTCTCTAGTTCTACATGTATTAGGATGCACTACATCTTTTATCCCGAATAGAACCATTCTACCGGCTAGATCTATGCTCCTAATGATCCTATTTTACTAACAATGGTATCGAAGCAAGGTTTAAGTATAGATCTAGTCTTTGGAGTAGAAAGCAAGAAGCTTTTAGAAGGAGGTGATTCGTATGAACCCTAGGAATCCCCATAAATACATAACCCTAACCCTAACCGATAAGAGGACGACGTGAAGAGAGGGACCTACATATAGATGACCAACGGGTTGGCCTGGTCTGGCACGGCACGGGCCCGTGCTAGGCATGGCACGGAAGGGCCCATTGGGCCACTAGGCTGTGCCGCACCAGTCCATCGTGCCTGGCCGATGGCCCAGGCACGGCCTGTTGGGCCATTTTCGTGCCGGGCCGGCCCGATGAGCCTAGCCTTTTTAGCAGGTCAGGCCAGCCCAAGGCCCACCAAATGCGACAGAGATGAGGGGGAGGCGAGGAGTGGAGGTGGCAGCAGTCGACGGCGAGCTCCCCCCTAGGTTGCTTGTTGTCGGATCCGGCGAAGTAGCCGACGGAGGAGGCGAGTCCGACGAAGTAGCTGGCGGATCCACGGTGGTCCGGCCGGATCGAGGGTGTAGAAGGCCAAATCGAGGCCGCTCTGCTCTAAGCTGCTGCAGGGGGACGTGGAGGAGGTGGCCAGACACGCGGGGGGTCGTGGAGGAGGTGGCCGTTGCCGTGCTCGACACCGGCGCTGCTATCGCGCTGGACTTGAGCGTGGTCAAGGGACGGGGAGGAGCCGAGGAGGAGCGGGGTCAGCGCCGCGGAGGGGATGGAGGCCGCTCTGCTCGAAGCCATGTGGGGCGCGGAGGAGGCGGCCACAGCCAGACGCACAGATGGCCGTGGAGGTGGTGGCTGCCGCCGCACTCGACGCCGTCGCGTGGTGGAGGTGGATCTCTAGAAATGACAGTATGGGGATGGGGGAGGCGGAGTGGAGTGGAGGCGGAGGCGGCGGTGTGGCCGGGGATGGGGGAGGCCGTATGGAGGGATTATGGAGGCAGAGTGGAGTAGAGGTGGAGGTGGCCGGCGTGGCCTTTTTCGAGGGAAGGGGAGGGAGCCGGGAGCGTCCGCGACGCAGAGGGGAGAGGAGCGAGTGCGGTGTGGGGAGGGAGCCGGGAACGTCCGTTGATTGGGACGTGTCGTGCTGGCACATCATGCCTGGGGTAAGGCCCAGGCATGGCCTGCTCCTTTGGGCCAGGCCAGCCTGGGCCCACTCGCCATCGGGGCAGACCAGGTTCGGGGCAGGCCAAAAATGCGGGCTTCATGCTGGGCTATCGTGCCGTGGGCTGCATAGACATCTATAGACCTACCTGGACCTCGCCCCTGTCACCACCGCCACCGCGTGGGATGTTCACCGAGATCTTGCCACGCCGCCGCGCGATCTCCGACGTGCGGGCTCGGGATCCAAGGCGCAACCGCAAGGCCGCTCAATGGCGGCACACTCAGCCTAGGGCGAGTGTGCGTGTCGGCGAGGGGCCCCATAGTCATGCCGCCATCTTCCTTCTCTTCGGCCGCCACGCGCTGCCATCGCGCCAGCGTCTTTTCTGTCACTGTGGCGCTGAGGAGAGAGAAGGGGAGGAAGGAAATGAGATTAGGGTTCGGGGAGAGGCCGGCGCCGTGGGGTTTTGTTCTGTCGAGATCAACACCCCGCCGTCGTATATGAGATCAACGGCCAGTGCTCACTGGGCTGGCAGCTGGCCTAGGCAGAGCGGCGCGGGGCACGCATTGTGGGCCGAATTCCTGGCCTAGGCCCAGGTTATGGCCTGGGCACGGGGAAGGGTGGCGTGCACGATCGGCGTGGGCCGATTTCGCTGAGTGGGCCGCGCGCTGCTGCGGTTGGGCTGGGCCGCGTGCTGTTTTTTTCATATGCCGAGCCAAATGAACAGTTGCTAATGTTTTAAGTTTTATTTATTTTTAGAAGCAGTTTTGAAAATTTTCATAAGCAAATTTCGGTGAATTTTGTCAAGTTTTGAATCTCTGTCAAAATTTGAACCAATGGAATAATTTTTTAGAGAGTAGATGAGTAAAGTAAAATGCTTCTGAAAAGTAGATAAATAATTTTTTATGTTTCTGCTGCAAAGTTTAATGTTTATTATCTTCCAATTAAATTCGAACCTTTCGAACCAACGGGAGAATTTAATTTGAAGAGCAGTTATATTTAGTAAATTATGATTATGTTGATCCTCTAATTAATTTGGAACCAACGGGAAATTTAATTAGATGAGTAGTCCATTTTTTTGTTTAAGTAAGATTATGGTATTGTCATTTTCTGACCAACGTTGATGATGACAATATTATAACGAATTTAAGTTTGAAGTTTAAATCTTTGAAAAATTTTACACCAACGTGGTGAATTTTTCAGAGAGTAGATAAGGACCAAGAAATACTCCTAAACTAAAATAATGTATTTCATTATTAAGTTTCCGCTGCAATGATGTTGATTATCTTCTAATTAAATTCGAACCAACGGGAGAATTTAATTTTAAAGAGTAGTTATATGGATTTAAGGAGTAGTTATATGAGTTAATTCAAGCCAAAGAATCATGAACAACTGCTACTCTAGGTTTCGGCAGCGTACGACGGAGCAGCGGGCGGTGGCAGCGGCGGCTGTTGCGGTCGTTGGAGGAGGTGGACAACGCGGGGCTAAGGGATTTAGAACTGATGCGCTCAAGGCAACTGCACTAGCGGCTACCGTTGGAGGAGGTGGATAGGACGATGCTGAGAGATTCAGAGCTGATGCGATCAAGTGGAGGTGTTTGGAGTGCAAAGATTGGGGCTACATGGGAGGCCTCATCAGCTTGGACAACCACAGAGGCGTCATAAGGAGATTGAATAGGCTGAGGCTGTGAGCATCAAGAAAAGACAGGAAGAAAGGGCCGCTTAAAGCAAGGCAGGGGGCAATGAGAAAGGCGATGGTAAGGCTGGAGGACACGGCGGCGGTAAGAAACATGTGTGTTAGTTCTCAGTAGGATTCGACAAGTACTAGCATCACATATTTGTGGTTGTGGGCTACTATGTATCTTTTAACTGACAAGTGTCACTGTTGGTTTCGCTAACAAAAAAAAGAGTGAAGGGGAAAAGAAGGGAGAGAGACCCGAATGAGTGAGAGGGTCAAGTGAGTCGCTCTCCCCCTATTATAGGAAAGGTGGGAGGGGAGGTTTTCATTATTTCCCCTGGTTGGGCTTATATCTAAAAAAACCACTAAGGGCTACAAATGGGTCCCAAATATTATTTTGCAAGCCCCCAAGTTACGTAATTGGCCCCTAGAAACACTAGTGGGATCCCTAACATATAATACTACCCCCAACGATGGTCCCTTAGCTATTCGGTATTGATCAAAAGTACAAGACCCAATAGTTAAACACAACTAAGTGTGGCCCAATTATAGCTTAGACTCGGCACACAACTTTTGTCCATAGAGATAGTCTAGGGACTACTTTGTCTCTGGCTAGTCTTTGGTGGCAACCTTCGCTCAAACCTCCATGCACTGGTCTTTTGGCGGCTTGCTCCTTCCTATGGCCTTGAGCCCCTCGGCACCTTCATTTCATAATTGAGCCTTCACCAAGATGTCGAGCTAGTCAAAGTAGTTAACACAGGCGAGATGATTGTAGATGATCACAACATGTCTTCAAACTTTCACTCACGGGCGCTAGGCAAGACTTTTGCCTTTGGGCGAATTGCTTGTCCAATGCGCTCCGCTCCAACCCCTCTTGGCTAGCTCTGTGAGAAATTCTTTCACATGTTTGAGTTAAACATAGTAGGCATGGTAGATGTAAAAAATGTCATAAATGGAGATCCTGATCCGATTGGCATCAAAGGCGAAGTCGATGACATCAAAGTTGATGGTGAAACACCTTGTCATAGTGGCCGCAAAAGATGTGTTGTCGACATCAGAATCGTTGGTGAAAGCTCTAGTTTGGTTTTGGTTAATTGATGAAACCCTAAGTGCTAACCTAGTTTATCAAAGTGATTGTG